TGCTTCGATCTTAACCCGAAAGCCAGTTACTGTGATAGGTTTTCTGTCTGTCCATCCAGGATAATTTCGGAACAGCATTATTTATTATTTACAAATTAACCTCTGCAATTGATAAGGTGTCGTTAGATAAACAAATGTCAAATTAATTATAACATAAGCGTGGGTTAACGCAGTTCAGCACTTCAATGCACAACGTAGACCTACTTAGAAATTCTGTTCCTACCTCCAAGAAAACACATCGAATTTCCATTTCAAGGTCAGTCGAATTATGTTTGAGGAAATCATAGATTTTTATAGTGAGAACCAAATGAAACACAAAAAATACGTTCTGCAGATGGAATCCCGACTTATTTCCAGCCAGTTCTCAAGATTCTTAAGCCGGAAGTGTAGACTAGACCATGGCTGCCCTGAAACCTAGGCAGTGTACAAGGAACATTACGGTTGAAGGATGCAAGGCAGTTACCTAGACCTGATACGAACTCGTGACGTAAGCTTAAACCGTGCCGACACTGGGACTCTCTGTTAATTTTTCACCATAAAATACTAGGTGACGAATCCAAAACACTTATCATCCTTATTCGACATTATATGGCCTGTGCAGTTGACGAAGCTTCCTGAGATTAGAAAGGTATGATACGCAACAAATTTCCCTCCTTGGATTCTTCCATGATTTTCTAAATAACTGGATTGTCCTAAAGCTCCGACCTTATGGGACATTCGGCGTAAGTACTATAGATACGTCACGTCTGGTAACCGAATTCTAATCGAAGAAATATGATATTTTCTACCTTATTTTTTAAAATCGGTTATGGTAACAAGCGGCCTGACATATCCTAATATGTTTCGAGGTCTAATGTAAGGAAAGAACAACTAGAATTGTAATGTTATGAAATTCGGCGCACTCTTCACCAGATAGGCCCATTATTAAGATGACTAAACCAAAATACATATTGGGGCATGCAGCACGCATGGAAGATATGAGAAATTTAGCCTTGCACACTTTTTGTCGGAAATACTTAAGAGATGAAACCTCTTGGGAAACTTGGGAAATCCTGACGTAACTGAAAGGATAATAATCTAAGATATTGTAGATGCGTCATATTGTGATTTATAAGTATTAAAAATATTAAAAATATATTAAAATTGGCCGTCAATCACAATATAAGATAATTAAAAGTTCCTTATCGAGTACTCGATTTACATGTGGAA